GGTATTCGCCGATACCGGATACCGATAGTCCCATTAAAGAAGCCAGGCGGCATGTAATGGCTCGCCGCCCCGGCTTCCCCATTATCCGGGAAACCGTCTTCATGCTCCCTCGTCACCAGGTAATGAGGAAACATGGAGCCTGCTTTCTGTCCAATAAGGAAGGCGGGGGGTGGGTAATGACTCGCCACCTGGGTTCCTGATTGGCCAGCTTCCCAGCCAATCAGGAAGCCAGGCGGCAAGTCATTACCCGCTGCCCGGCTTCCTGATTGGCTGGGAAGCTGGATCCATGCTCCCTCGTCACCAAGGGACGTGGAAGCATACAGCCGGCTTCCCGGCCATTTGAGAAGCAGAGGGGGCGAGTCATTACCCGCCCCCTGGCTTCCTGATTGGCCGGGAAGCCAGCTCCATGGTGATGAGGGAGCATAGAGCCAACTTCCCGGCCAATCAGGAAGCCGGGCAGCTGGTAATGACTCGCCGCCCACCTTCCTGATACCGGAGGTTCCGGTATCGGGATAGGCATCGGGAGCATCTTGCCAAGTATGAGTACTCGCCCAAATATTCAGTAATGCTGCAACCCTACTTAGAGGCCATTTATACCAGAAGATACAGTATGGAGGGCCAGAGTTGCCCACCCCTGCCTTAGTGGTTTTGTAGGGATAGGACCATTGGGGTTTACTGGTTCATGAGGGAGGGTATTATTCTACAAATTTTCCATAATTGAAGTAGATCATCAATAAAAACTAAAGAAACAATAGCTCACCATACTAAATATTTCCTACAAATACTCCTCTTTCTTGTGTGGTATTGAGTGGCAATCCCACTGTAGAATTGGATGTGATGATAACCTGGGACTCTCAGCCAGACGGGCTGAGACGTGTCAGGAAGCAAGGGCTTGTCTGGATTCTGCTTTGGATCCTGGAACTGGGAGGTTTCAAGGTGATTCTGGAAGAAAGATGAGATCCCTAGTCCTGGTCCAGGCTTTAGCAGTGGCCAGCACTCGATAATTGCACAGCTGTGCACAGACATTAAGAAAAGGATGCTGGCTAGGGGAATTAGCTCCTGCCTGGAAAGAGGAACAGACCGTGTTCAGGTGTCAGGAGAATGCCCCCAGAAGTCAGAGAGGAGTCAGGTGATGAGTGTGCTGGAGGCACACTAAAGGTGCCCATACACCGTACGATAATCGTACAGTGTATGGAAGGCGTGCGACCGTTTTCTACTGTACGAACAAGCAGGCTTGAAAACCGTCCGAGAATCGTACGATTCTCGGCGAGTTAGTGGCCTGCTTGTTCGACAACTGTCGAACAGGCCGGTGTGCGAACGCGCACACTGCCCGTTTGCAGTGATCGGAAGCCCACCCCTCATTGCGGTCATCGCAAGCCCGCCCCGTTCGCAAGTACGATCTGCCTGTCCAAGATGGGCAGATCGTACGAGCTTTTAATAATACTTGAATGTATTTTTAAGGGCTTGTTCACACCAGATGCAGACCAGTGGGTTTTTTGTCCGCACCTGAAATGCATCCTAATGTATCCCTATGGTATTTCTGTGTTCTTTTCACAACAGTGCAGTCAGTTCCGGTGCAGGGGGGAAAAATAGAGGTGCACCAAAATGGAAATTTCAAAACCGAAATGAAACCAATATTTTAACCCCTTCATGACTGAGCTAGATTTCAGGTTCTGTTCATAAATGACTGACACATTTTTTACATTTTTGCTGTGTGATTCTTCCACAGCAGTAATATACTTTCTTACTAAATGTACCCACACATATTATATATTGTTTTTTAGAGGACAGATAGGGCTATATAATTATATCATTCCAGCTGGCCAGCTCAGTATGCCGTACGGCCCTGGCATTTACAGTTCTACTATAAGCTCATGGCTATCAGGCTGGCCGCAATTCAGGATGGCCAAACGGTGTTCCGATCCGAGCCGCTGTCATCCTGTCAGTTTTTGGATGACAGCGGCTCTGT